TAGCACGTTTAAAAAAAAAACATGTTTGCCAAGATTTTTAAAGAACAACAATGTTTGCATCATTTTACTATTTAATAATATCTTCTTAATTAAATCTTGTCTTATTTTGAATGCTTATTTTAAATGTTTACATATTTTAGCTTATATATTTATCTGAATGTATATAGTTGTGTAATCTGCGAGGGCCACAAGTTTATTAGCCTCTGGCTATTAAGTGCTACCCTCTTTAAATAAAGGCTTTCATTCATTCATTCAAGGGGGGAAGGCATTTCCTCATTAGGCCTGAGCAAGTACGTGCCTACAAACCCTGTGTAAAAGTTCACTGTTTAATGCCCCCCACGGGATTTCTACGCAAACACGAGGTCACTTACGAAAGTCAAGTAGTTCTTTGCTGTGTGGAAAAATCGTTGTTTATTTCAATATCCTTTCTGCTTGTCTTTAGAAAAGTGCCTTTCGCTGGAAACCTGTATCTATTAGGATAAGCCGGTGTACCTTCTACGTATTGGCCAAATGCTTCTACGTATTATTAGCTTAATTTTACGTATTATTAGCTTAATTCTACGTATTATTATACTTCTACGTTCTATTAGCCAAATGCTTCTACGTATTAGCCAAATGCTTACATAACAAAACAATAAAGAGTGCACTCTGATTGGCTACACAAACTCCGAATATCTTTTGATATTCATCTCTAAGCAATTCGTGCAGGATTTGCGCTTGAAAATAATGTAATCGTTGTAGGAATAAATGAGTTAAAATCATCTTTCTGTGTTAAATCATCTCACTTAGCCATTACTAGCCACCTCCACTTCGGTGAATAGTTGTTAATTATTTATAGCAGTAAGGGCCATGTAAAAACCTCAGTTAGGGGAGGTAGTTCACGATATCTCATATCTAATTAGTTTGCAACGTTACCTTCATATAAAACTCGTTCTTAAAGAAATGAAGATCCAGCGCTCTATCCATTGAGCTAACCGCCTCCCGGTTAGCTCAATGGATAGAGCGCTGGACTGTTGTGCGGGAGGTCGAGGGTTCAAGCCCTGGCCGGACCAACACTCAAGGTCTTAAAATAATTGAGAAGAATATGCTACCTTCCTATGACATCAAGAAATGGTTAGATATTCTAGTCTTCTCGGATAGGGACGAATAAATGGAGGTCCCGTCTCCTACAGGGTTAGGGGTAAGAGACGTTAATTTCCCACGCACGAGATTACTGTGTGATGGATGTCTTCCCCTGGGGTGGGATGAGTGGGATTTATTGGGTGGACTACTCGCATGGTTCGCATATGTTCCGTTCTAGTCCTACCCTACTGTGGGAATGCATTGAAAATGGTTAGAAAAAGAAAAGTTAAGAACCTGCCAAATATTTTTTCCAACGTCCGAACAGTTCACGAGATACAGTGGTTCGAGTGAGACACAATTTTAGTAGAATCGCATCATTGAATAAAATCTCGCATTCTGATTGGCTAACGAAGCGAGGTATTTAGCGTGGAATTGCGAGTGGAAAACGAGGCTAAGTGAAATTGTTTCGCATCTACGTCACTAAGAACAAAAACTATCGTCAAATAAATTGTTNAGATCTATTACGAAGTTCATATAAAACACGCGTCCGGCTTACTGCTAGGATCGGCAATGTCGACAGCGTCATGTTTACCGCTTTTATAAGCTTTTATAACGGCTAACTGATTAGTCAGCGACATAGCCCCCAATGAGAGTTGACATTTTATGACCATGGCGCTATCTTAATCACTCCAATGGTGCATTCGCCTTATTGTGAGGTCCAATCTCTCTCAGAGAACATTTCAAAACACTGCTGGTCTGGAAATTTTCGGAAGTTGTACTCTAATCATAGGTTAAGGAAATGAAATGTGTACCATTGTGAAAAATCTCTCTTTTGATGATTTCTGTTTCATAACCCCAGAATACACTGGTCTATCTTATTTTCGGCTTGTTTTTTGTTGTTCTGGGTTCTTAAACAACGAATAAGTCAAGATTAATGAAATAACAAATTACCTGGAGTATTAATGGGTTCACATGTCAAACCCAGTTTATTTTTTAACTCCTCCCAATCGAACTCTATTCCTTTAACCTTTGGCGTCTAAAACAATAAAATTGAAGCAGCTATAGATTCCTGATCTGACATTCAACACCCAGAAGTGATTAGCATGTAACTTCTTTCTACAATTGCTATACATTATCCAGCAAACAGCTAACCATAAAATTTCAACTTATCAAGCATAGAAGTTGTTATCGTGATCTAACACCAAATTCTCGAACCTACTTCATAAGGAAATGCGTCGCAGCCAGGAGGGAGAATTAAGAATCAGATTTTGGGATTTAAAGAGTTAAGAGTTGACGAACTAAAAGACTGTATCCGCAAAAACGCCCTGTTACCCACAATGGTTATTTTTAGATCCCTTCCTTTGTAGGGGATCCCAAGTGAATGCATAAACAGCTAATCCTATATTGCGAATTTTTACTCACGTAGTTGAGCATAACACGAGATGTGTTTTCTTTCCGGTTCATGTTCCATAATTCCCGGAAGACCAAAGAATCGTAAAGGAAAAGTACGGTTCGGAAACCCATAAAAAATTTTCATACCCGCGATCAACTTCTTTAACTCCCATAATACCTTGCGAGCAGAGGTCCCCTCGATCGAAGGTTACTCCTAGGATTAACCAAAACAGAATGTCTCCTTCGATATCAATAAAACATCGGGCAGACCAGTAATGAGAATAAGGGAAAATATCAATTAGGGAATTATTAGTTGACCCGTTACTAAATTCTCTGAAGTAACATTAACGAAAATATCTTTGTTCCGCAACATTCTCATGCTGCAAGGTATTTATTCATAGACTAACTGCACATATCTTACCTGTTTGTTAAATGTCTTAAAAACAAACGAAAGCTCGTGGCCTGGTATACAGCCTCGGCTACAATACCAGTAGCGAAACATAGTTCCGCGGGCGAAGTGTTGATACAGAAAGACCACAACCAGAACCAGGAGAATAACCACTAAGATTTTCCAAAAGAGAGCTGAAAGCAAAAAAAATTAACTTTCCGATGGCAATATCATATAGACCATGTACACAGGTGATGTCGAATGTGTCGCCACCCTTTTGGAAAAAACATGGCTGGCTTTAATTTAAGATTACAAAAAAGGGGAATAGATTAAAATAAAAGCACAAGAAAATAGAAAGCGTGGTGTTTTGGTCAAAAAAAAAAAACAGCTTTTGAACGACTTGCCAATATTTAGATAAAAAGGCATTTTCCAGTCTTCGCATGACATCATTAGCAAATTCATAATGTTAAAAATACGCAAAGCTGTATTTACTGATCACAACAGTGTTGTTTTTAACGATGTCCCTATCAGTAGAAATTTCCATTTGGCAATAACTTAGGAATTTTCTTTTCATCTTTTTTGTAACTATCCCTCAAGCAAGCGCCTAAACTGAGGACAGAAGATGTGATATGGTGTTATTTTTTTCATGCTCTTCGTAATATGTCCATTTTCAGAACTTGTAGAAAATGGTCACCATGACACTCCGTGAATATCCACTGGGAATGTAAGACTGACAAGCTTATCTTTGAAACAGGTTACATAGATACTGATAATATAAATGTTGGTTCGCCTCACTCAGAATGTTATATCACCAAGGAAGATTGAGAATACGTGCTCTAGTNTCTGCTCAAATTGGCCAATCAGATTGCGACGCGACATTACTTCCAATTGTGTTAAAATATCTGTTTGAATCTACCTGCCCTGGAGTACCAATAATGAAACATGCCGCATTCCCCGAAAGATTGTTCATAAAGGAACAATACAATTGCAAGAAGCACAACAACTACGGACAATTTCCAGTGGAGTCCTGAAGATGAAAAACAAACAATTATAAGTACAACCCAGGTTATTACATTGTGAGTCATTAGAGAAGCAGCATTAGACGAGGCTTTTCAAGCTGTTGAACCATCTTCTTTAACGCTGTGAACCGAATACAACACGCTTTGCTATCAGAATATTAGACTTCTCATTGGCCTCCACTTCATGTCATCATCTGCAGAGTGCATTGCAAACTATTCAAGATGGCAGCCGCGGGAGATTCAGAGTGGTTCTAAGACCCTTCTTTAGAAAACGATAAAAAAAATTCAGATTGCTTGGTAAGGAAATTTTTTAATACCTGATCTACTGAGAAGCACATTTGAAACATTTTGAGCGCTATTTTTTAAAAGAGTCGAGGTTCCCTTTAAGGTGTTTTCTTTTGTTCGGCTTTTGTTTTACGACCCGCAATCGAAACGGGCTTTAAACTCTAAGTCACTCATAGTTACCGCTCTTAGACAGTTTGTCTATTCCTCGTGATAAACTGGCCACTGTTTCTTTCGTTTTCAACTGATCTTCTTTAACGGAGATTAGATCACTCTCCAACGCAACATGTTTCTCTTCAAGTTTGCTGAGACTAGAAGCAAATCGCTCTCTCAAACTGTCAAGGTTGTCCCTCAGTCCTTCATGGTCTTGCACCCAGGAGTCTTTATTTTCCTCAACAGATGTGGATAATACCCTCATTTCGTCTTGAACGAGCTGGAACACCTCATTGCTGATCTGTTGTCCGAAGCACATGTCATTACCTTTAATAACAAGAAGAGAACAAGATGAATTAAAAGAAAAAAAAAGAGAAAATAAGAACCAAGTCACCCTGGCCGTTAGCAATCAGTGGCCATCATGATCACTGAACAGATCGATCTGCAGAAATATGAACATTCTCCTTTACTGTAATTTAGTCTGGTGTCTTTGTTAAATAAATTTTTCCACTCTGTTTCTTCTTCATAGGCATGCAGTACATTTACTGTGATAAGATGCAACATTTGTCAACCATACCTCTATTTCTCCATTCCTGTAAATCCCCCAAAACTTTTTTCTTGGAAGCTTCAGAAAGTTTCAAACTTGTAATAAGCTTTTCCATGAGTTGAAAGCATTTTAGGTAAAAGGGTTCAGTCCATGTTGCAAATGTACAATGGCCCCATTCATTAGGAACATTATCACGTACATCCTTTGCGATGATATCAATTCCACGATAAACAAAGTTTGGTGCTTCACATAGGATAGAGAGTGCTGCAGATGAATCCAATGTTTCATCAAAGCCTGTGAAGCCTAACATGAATGGCTTAACAAACAGTTTAGCTAGAGACACCTCGTCTCTAACACAGTAATCATAACTGTGAGGCTGTTTTTTGCTGTTGTTGTTGATGTTTACATAATTCAGGCGCCACGTAGAAGGTGGAAGGATTTTGTGATAAGTAGGCCATGTTTGTGACTGAATGCAGGGAGATGTGCGAACCAAATTCTGATACAAATCATGTATCTCTTGCTCAATGACCTTCCTAATTCCTGGTATAAGAGATTTTGAGAGGCAAATCCCGACGACAACCCATCGTTTCTCTTCGGGCGTTAGCATCGCTTAACGTGGGGCTTGTAGACAATCAAGAAGAAAGAAGCCGTTGAATTTGTAGTTCTGCAAAAATAACACGGGGAATATTACACATGCACGGTAAGTCTGTTGATGAAGTGTCGGCTGCAAGCTGAACTGTCTACGGACTTAACTTGCAAAGGAGGAGTTTCGGGACTGCTGGTGATCTGCTCTTTTATCCGATTTAGGGCAGTTTACTGTGATAAGGGGAGTAGTTATGATAAATTATTAGACATGGCTAACCTAAGTACACTGCAGAACAGAAGACTACAGGATATAGCCATTCTTATGTATAAGGTAAAGAACAATTTATCTCCTAATTACATATGTAGCCTTTTTCAAATTCCACAACTTAGGTACACACTGCGTAATAATGATTTTGGTATACCTAGATTTAATACTGTCACTTTTGGAAAACATTCGCTTAGATATATGGGACCCAAAATATGGGCAATTGTACCAAGAAATGTAAGAGAACTGACATCCATATCATCTTTTAAATGTAACATACGTAGAATAGACCTTGTTTCTAAATTGACTGATAGTAAATGTGAAAACTGCCTTTTATGTAAGACTTAGGTTAGATTTTAAATTGTACATATATATTGTTTTATTTTTAAATTTCTTAAATTTTTAGGTAGTATTTAGTGTCCCCAGTTAGTGGTTGTATAACTGCTATTTTAGATTTGACACATAAATAAAGGTTGTTGTTGTTGTTGTTGTTGATACTTACTATCACTGATGGCCGGGGGCGAAATGAACAAAGAAGCCCCTTCACTTGGTACAAGACAAAAGAATTGATGAGGTGATTTGCAGAGTTGAATGTCGTTGATATGACAACTGCATCCACATATTCTGTTGAAGTGCAATGCTGAAGCAGATAAAATAACCCATAGTGCTGTTCTCGATATTTTTTAATATCAATTCAGCATGCACGTGTTAACAAAACAGTTAACAATTGCTTTCATTTTAAGTATGTCGTCGTAGAAAATTTATGATAAGCATGTGCCCTGTCGAATTCATCAGATTCTCAGGGAGAAGACAACGACTGACTAGAAACAAATGTAAAACTGCATGAGACAACAAGCTGCAAAGAATTTCGCTGCACGACAAAATACATATATGGACAACTACGTCCAGTGTATAAAAAAAGTTGAAATCTTTCAATTTAGACAATTGACGATTCAGGCATGGTTGACGATGGACTTCCGGTCTCAGTTTCTCCGAAACGCATCCGTTGCCCTCAAGAAGATCACGTGAACTGAATGTGCAATCATTCATTATCCTCAGGGTTAAGTCGTTATAATTAGGCTTTTAAACCTAGAATGACTATCAACGTTACAGTTATTATTCTCCTCCACAATTTTTTCCTACTACCGGCCGTTTTTTAGTTTTATTTTCCTATGTTTAACCAAGAGCCATAATTGGGTCTCAATTATGGCTCTTGGTTTAACTCCATGCTCATGTAAAATTGCAACCGCAAAATACAAGTAGCAGGTTTTTTATAAATTTTTAACCTTTAATTAAGTTAAGTCTTTTGTCGAATATTATAACAGAGAGTATGATTTTGTTAGCAAAAATTACATGGCTTCGTTTAGATCAAGTGGAACACGTTCTTTTCCCAGAGTAGAGCTTTACTTACACATTACATCATTTTCGTTTTGTCTAACACAACAAAGGGTCCGGCAACGGTCAGTCAGATTTATGCAAAACAATGTGCTTGACTTCGTAGAATACAGCGAATAGTCCCGCTCAAACCACATAATAAAACCTTCAACATTTTTGATTTGTCAGCTGTTTTTTGTAAATCAAGAAATGCTTCACCTCATTCAATGAATTTACCATGCTCTGACGGCAAATTAATAAGACTTGCTTCCAGTTTATTTTTATTAAAAGTAACGGGTTCTTTTCAAAAGGCCGTTGACGCTCTGAAAACACACAATTTTCAAGCGATAGAAAACCACTGTTTTTTGATTGTATCTATACATGCAAATGAACCTTAATGCGTTGTCTCGAGCCCTAAAGATCTCTTTTACCTCTTTATGTCACCCATTTCGCGAAAACACTGAAACGAAGAGTATGTCGCCCTTATCGATAATGTGAAAGAAGTCTCCTTCGTCTTTTATATTTCGCGAAAATACTGGAACAACGGAGTATGTCGCCCTTATCGATATTGTGAAGGAAGTGTCCTTCGTCTTTTATATCTCGCGAAAATACTGGAACAAAGAGTATGTCGCCCTTCTCGATATTGTGAAAGAAGTCTCCTTCGTCTTTATATTTCGCGAAAATACTGGAATAAAGAGTATGTCGCCCTTATCGATATTGTGAAAGAAGTCTCCTTCGTCTTTTATATTTCGCGAAAATACTGGGACAAAGAGTATGTCGCCCTTATCGATATTTCGAAAGAAGTCTCTTTCGTGCCTATCTGCCTAATTTCTCGCTAACAGCCCGTCCATTAGCAATAAAAAAGCCGTCGAATAAAGATGACATACCTAACAAAAGCCGAAAGACGCCAGATCAACGCTTCACTGAACAAATGACCGTTTGGCTCTTAAAACGGAGTCCATCCTGCTTGATCGTAATTGATATATACTTTTCCTTTCAGTTTTGGTTCTCTGAAAGACACCGACACTTCGTTTAACGAAAGATTTCTCGACTCCGAATTGATTTAGAAGAGACCAGTTGTCTAAAAAGATGTGAAATGTGACTCTAGGTTGGATTATCCTGTATGACCTTTGAACCAGACGGACCGCTCAAAAAAATTAACCAACGGTCTTTCGAGGAGCGGAAGTTTAGCACGAAAACAATTCCTAGAAAGGAGCTGATTTTTCGAAACTTGAGAAGCCAACGCCATGTGATTTATCATTGATACTTTCAGCTTTGCATTTATCAAGTATTGGATGTTAAACAAATTTTTTATGAAAATATTAATTTTTAATTTGGTCTATTTGTTTTTGTAAATCAAATTGCAGCGAAAGAGGGCGGCAGAACAGCGCGCTCTCTGCAGCTTAGTCCTCAGGTCTTCGTTACATCTCTTTTAGTCAGGGAGCAGATTCCGTTGTCATGCCTTTTTATTTCAACATGGAAACGAGGCTGAGATCTAAATTGACCTTAGTCCCGATTGGAGAAGGGAATGCGTTTAAAAATTGATGGAGACTTTACAACTAAGTACTACTCAAGTCAAACATATGACTCAACGTGCTTCCTCCGTATCTGTTGGTCCTTTGCCAGGAGCTTGATGCCTCCCCAGGTCTTCCTTATGTCCTTAATTTCTTTCTCTACTGGCCGCCGCTAGGTGTTCTTGGGGTGCCCCTCTCCTCGCCTTTCTTATTAGGGATCCAGTGTGGAGAGGTTTTTGCGATAGAGGAAATGTGGAGAGTTTTAATATTTCCTTCTCTGTCGAGCGCCGACATTCTGCTGGAAGTGGAGGAGTGCAATTAGGCCCTTGCCGATTGTGGCAGTTAAAGTAGCATATTATGCTACTAGCAGAGCCCGATTTTTTCCAAATTGTGCTCAAAATTATGCTACTTTTCCTTACTATATGCTTAAAAAAAAAACTAGTCCAAAAACCACAATTATGTATTTATTGTTAATTGATAGAGCATCATATTTTCTTTATCTTGAGTTACTCACTTGCTCTGATAAAACAGAACTACTGCACTTCATTCCAGACTAGAAGCGGCGACTTAATGTGTCAAAATGTACGATGTTAGCGGGAACTGGGACCGACGCGTTCTGTACTTCCGGTGTGCCCAGTCCTCTAGACGACCAACGACGCAGTATTACGGTAAGCTTCCTTCCCCTCCCCCAGACGAATGAAAACAGGCTGAAACATGGACAAAACTCGAAAATAATCAATCTTTGAGACCAAGCAAGTAATGACTCTGGTAATGTTCCCTTCAGAAAACAAAAAATATGCTAATTATGCCAGCAGTGCTACTTTTAGAAATTAAAAGTGCAAAAAATTATGCTCGTTTTTCCAAATTATGCCAAAACTCATGCTAGCACAATTGATAGGGCCATTGCCTTATTCATCATGATGAGCGAGTTTCTGGACTTTTTGAGACGGCTTTGGATGTGCCTAGGTTAATTCCTCCATCTCTGCCGATGATGCCGCCGAGATTGGTAAATCTGCCTCCGTAAGGAAGTTCTTCATTATCAATCTAGACTGGGCATGTGTTGACAGTAACCAGTGCCATGTTGATGTTGAAGCCAACTTGTTTTGCAGGTGTTAAGGCGTTCAGTCTTCTCTTGAATGTGCGAGTGGGTATGTGATAGCAAGGCTAAATCACCAGCGTAATCCAAGCTAATCCAGGTCTTCTGAGTGGGAGAAGGGTGTTCATATGATGCCCCTGAACTGATCCTCAGGGGTGCGCCTCATGTTCCGCAGTAGTCGCCGATTGGAATGGTAAAATGCTCTCTCGTCGATAAAATGAAATTTTTGTTCAAAATTTCCACGATGTGCAGATCAAATGTATCTAGATATTTCTGTATGTAAAAGTCTTCAGTGTTATCAATTACGTGCCGGAGACACCACTGTGAGATCATTTTCAGATGTTTATCATCTTTTGCCGTGTCACGGAAAGAACTGAAAAAATATCTTCAGATCTACTGGGCATAATTCGTTGATTTAAGAGTACAATGGTCTCTCTCTAAAGATAAAAAAATTTATGTTGGAAGAAGTCTCGAAAACGAGGCAAATATATAGAGCAGTGCAACTTTAGTCAAATGCTAATAAGACACACACAATGATAACAAAGGGTAAGGGTTGAATTAGGGTCCAGGTATTACGCAGCCAAGTGCGGTGAGGGACCGGGCGATGCAATTGGCTCCGTTCTCTCTTATTCAAACACCAATTACTGACCGCTGAATGATGTGCTGTCTCAACGCGAAACCATCCCTACAGTTCTTCCGGGAACAAGAAACTGGCTAATTTGTCTTCAACATTTTTCTTTTGCAAATACATCTTAAATGTACACAAGAACGCTATCATGCAACTCCAATGGGCGTCACGCAAGTGTGGGAGAGTCTATAGGCACATGCGCATCCCTTCTTGTTTGAAAAAAGTATTTTTAAGATCCTGGTACAAAAACCCCTGTTCAGGACGCTAGAAGGTGTGTATAAGGCCTTTTAAAACCTTTCCTTGTTTATCGGCACTTGCCCTTTAACTCTTCACACCATAACACTAGTATGCATCTCCGTACTTCTTACCTTCAACTTCATGTGGTACCGGCCAGGAAAATTTGGTTCACGATCTTAAACATATTTATGGCAAAATTTCCTTTTTCCTTATGTCATCAATGTTTGATTCAAAAGTTATACGGCCAAGGCCCCCGAGGTACCCTCTGCACTTTCTAAAAATATGTCATTTATGTATTTACAAATGATAACGAACTCGGGCGACTTGACTTTTTTTCCGGGCGACATGATTTCGGGGTAGAGAGAACCAAGTGAAGGCACAAAATCGAATTGAAGTCTTGCTTCAAGCAAACAGAATTTTACCACCAATTTGCCTAGATAACTATCAGTAGTAAACTGAAAGAATCCTAGTAAAGCTAAATGGCATTTTTATTGAGTTATCCGGCTGTTTGGAGACAGCATTTAAAATTCCCGAAGCATCTCTTGCGATGCCTGTAGTTGCAAACTGGACGATTTGCATGCACTACAACAATACTGCTATTTTGATAATAAGCTTTGTCTTTCAAGCTGGTTAGACTACAACTTGGTATTGGGCTGCTTAGTAAAGCAACTGTTTCCTCTGGAAGCACGATCAAAGCCTACAGTTTGTCCAAGAACTTGTCCAGTGGTGGTATGGTCTCGGACAGACCCTTTCTCTTCCTTGTAGCAGCCACAACCCCTCCGGTCTTTGAAGTTGGGTCATAGGGGTCACCAGACGACATGTTCTGCCAATGGTCAAATACGCACTGAGGGAAGGCCTGGCCACCCGTGTTGGAGCGAAGGTCTGCGGTGAAACCTGGACAAAAGTAAACAAAAGTAATTTAGCGTTATGCGTAACTTTGTAAATGTACGGACATAGTGCAGTGATGAGGTGTTAACTTCACTTTCTATGGCAAAGTTGCAAAACATTTATAATCCTACAAATGGCCAAACCACTCACCAAATGATTCCATAACGGGAAGATAGGCTTTTACTTGAAACATGGGAGTTCCTGCAACTTGATTCTCTTCAAAGACATGTCCTCGTCTTCGAGTAAGTACTCCGTAGATTCCTCCAACAGCAGCCTCTGGACACTGCGAAGTATAGATGGATTAACTCTCGAGATATCATTTAGTTTCTGTAAATACCCCAACCTTTAACCATAAACCCTTTCACTCACGAGATATCATTAGTACTATTAATTGTCTGCCATACAACTCTTTTGTTAGTTCAGAGCATCTGATATTGAATCAACTAAGAATTCCCTCCTTGATTTTTTTACTTATTCCCATCACTTATTCCCATCATATCTGCTTGATACTGGAGGTGAAGGTTTTCAGAGCTATGAAATGGCCAATTCTAATTATGAAAATTCTACAAAATGGTGACGAAAATGCCTAAGTTTGTGGGCTGAAGGTCATCTTGTTGCAACACCAAAGTCTCCCCATTAATTTACAAATAATGGAGGAAGGAGAGAGAGGGAGAGAAAGAGAGACTTAAAATGATGACAAACATTATCCTGAAATGAAGACATGAAGTGAACGCAAAACAAAACGTAAAAAAAAACCCGGAAGGATGTCTCTACGTTTCACTACATTATAAGAACCACAAATCATGATTATTTTACCTGGATTTCACACAGGTAAACTGGTTCCATTAAACCTGGCTTCGCGGTCAACATGCACGCTAGGAAACAGCGTCGAGCAGTAGGAATAATTTGCCCTCCGCCACGATGAATTGCATCTGTGTGAAGAGTGACGTCCTTGATATTGAACCTCACGCCACGCACGTTCTCCTCACAAAGGGGACCTTCCTTTGTAGCCCACTGGAATCCGGCTACCACACTATCTTTGATTTCATTCAGATACTGAACTCCCTTGGTAGTGTCAATCACCAAGTTTGGACCGGTTCCCTTGGGTCCAAAGCACCAAATTTTACGTGACTCTGTGGCATCCCACTCATACTTGTCACTCAAGTGGCGGGCGCGTGCTTTCATCTCTTGTCTGGGGTAGACATCTCCTTTGTCTATCTCTTCAGCAAGTCCATCAGGGAAAGGTTCTGCTTCCATGAACAAACGGTTGTGTTTGTTTGGCGACTTTGAAAGGCAGGTTTGATTTGACGGCTCTGTAACTGTTTTACGGTAAGACACGACTGGATCTGATTTCTACACATGCACACACAAAAAATAGACAATCAAAGACTGTAGGTGACTGCAGGTATGGCACAATTTTTGGAGCATTGCAAAAAAACTACAGGTTATGTAATGATGCAAGAGGGTAGTGTTACAAACATTTGTCTCTCATGCAAAAAAGAAAATTGCTGCATCCTACATATTTATGAATAACTAGTCTCACAGGAGAGAGATGATTCAAGAATATATTATTTCTTTGACAGTCCCCAACTCGATTTGTATACGTGACACTTGATCGGATTGCACCCTCGAGCTCGTCAGCTATATATCACGCAATAGAAATTAAGGGCGAATAGATTTAGACGTTAATGAGAATGGACATTCTAGCGAAACGGACTTTCCTGATTGAAATGGCGAAAGAGCACACCCATTGATAAGAAATGACAATATATGCGTTTCGGTTAAATGAAGAATGATAAGATGCGATGGCGAGATATAGATACAGTAACGTCCACAGCAGTCTTGAAGTTTAAGGAACAAATGAAGGGACCAATTTTCGTCAAATAGTTAAAATTAAACTGAGGAAAATTAAAGAAGAGGATGTTATAGGACGTCTCGTTCAGTTAATGTCCTCACTGTCAAATGTGGAAGAAAATTAATTCTAGAGATAGGCATATATTATATAGGAATGGAGGTGAGGAAGATATTACATAAACGCAAAACAAAACATGAAATCGTAGATAAACAAAACGTTTCGAGAAAATGGAGTCTGTTTGAGTCCTAAGATGGAAATAGAAAAATATTCTTCTAGCACAACCGGCCAACATATTATGCACATTTTCCTAATGAAGCACACCAAGTGCCCTCGATAATTAACAATTATTCACCGCGGTGTCGGTTAAAATGAGGGGTATTTTACCGAGTTCCGAAGCGGCCATAAAATATACACCACTTACACCACAAATAGTGGTTTTGTCTTTTCGGCTGCGTAGAGGTAAACAGTACTTACTACTTACTTTCCGAACTTGCCAATTAGCGCAGGCGAAAATTAAAGCGCTATATATTCACCTGTGTGGTATATACTAAAAAATGATATTTACACTTAGATTGAGAACTTTATAGTTTTTTNGATATCCTTTACAGTGTCCCTCAATTTTGCGCGTGATTTTATCAGGAAGCTCAACAAATTTGGTAACAAAAATAAATGCTGTTATGTCTGTCAAATATTTTTTTTAACATAACATGTTCAGTTACCCATTCAAGTGCCACACAGGGAAGAGTACACAGACATAAATTTGCGTATGTGTCCACTAATATGATATGTCTGCAAAAGAATTTCGAGAAAGGTGTAGAGTTGGTCTTCCTTGAGAAAGAGCCAAACTAGTTTGGTCAATTTAAGTTTGTTTACTCTCAAAAGCAGCCAGTGGAAATGGGAAAAAAAAACAAAAGGCTTACCCAAAACTGAATTTCTACTAGTCCGTGGCTATTTGGCTACTGTTAGTGTCAAGCCCTGACCTGTAATCTGTAGAGCTTGTGCACCAGTGTTTATGGTGTGCATTACCATTGTAGTGTGAACTTACAGAAGTATTATAAATTCATAGTGCCTAGATCTGTGGGCATAACTATTTGAAGAGAAATAGTATTGGTGTTGGTAAGTTGTACAACATTTTAATAGCAAGGTTCCAATTTCAGCTTTTTTCAAAAAGTTACTGTAAAATGGTCACCATAAAAAAGTTTTGTTACGTAAATGGTGTAAAACAAACAAAAAAGTTATTAAAAAACACATGACTGCTACTTAGATCACAATCTAATTCTTCTAATTCCAACACAATCACCAACCTCTGAATACTTTTGTTGTACAAATCCTCCTTCTTTCCGGGCACATAATTTGGACCCATAATGCGCACTTTCTGTCCTGTTTCAACAAGTCCTGAAAACACACGTCCAAAGGCATAGAAGCGACCTTTGTCTACAGTTGGAACCATCTTGGAGACATATAGACACAAGGGGGCCTGCAAAAATCACAACCTATTCAATGTGGAGCTTATCAGTATACTTTCTCTAAAGTAATTATATGTAGTTCTTTTTCCTGGAGCTGGTTACAGATCTTTCTCTGCACTGTTCTCTTCACTGTCACTATTTGTCCCCCAAAATGGCTGTGTTCAAATTGAATAATAATAATAATAATGATTAATGTTATTTTTTTGTATAGCCTTCATGTAGTTACTACTGTATGTAGGTTAGCATTAGCCAAAGTCATATTTTATCTTGTTTTTATTTCTACCATATGTCGATTCTCATCATTTTAACAGGACCCCTTTGATAACAGTAGTTAGGTACTTAGAGGCGATCCTGTAATAAAAAAATCTGTTATTGTTATTATTATCATTATTATAATTGTAATAGGAGAGCAAGACTTTAAGGAACTATAATAATAACAATAATAAGGAATCATTAAAAGATTTCCAATTGAATGTTCAAGCAAGCAGTTTGTCAGTGAAAGGTGAAACATCCACATAAATTAGGGATTTCAAGAAATCTTGACCACAACAAGATTGTTGCAAATTAATATCAGATTGCGACTTCCCCAAAATTTACATGGTCTAGGATTGGGAACCCCAAAGGCAAATAAATAAATGAATCAACTTTGAAATCAAAACTGCATTTAAATGATATACCAAAGGGGAGAATAAGTGTCATTAGAGAAGGTAAACACCACAAGCTGTGTGCAAAATGTGACGGAGAAATAAAACTAATTCCCCAATTTCTCTAGCATTGGTGTCACAACAACTAAATTCCCCCATAAGTGGAAGAAGAAAGAGGTTTCCCTACAGCTTATCATTAGCAGCTAAATATATTAACAGTATCTGCATACTTGTGGGTTACAGTTTTTAATCCCCAAGGCCACTGGATCATCCTGAGGTCCTTCATAGAGCAACTCCACACGGTACTTCTGAGCTGAGACTGGGGATGGCAGGTGGATGGTGATCATCTGTAGCAGGGCATCACCAGCTGGCAGCCATTTCTGCATGACCTTCTTCAACAAAGGTTTACCTTCCAGCTCTTTCTCTTCGGCTGATAGCTTGACATTCAACTTCTCCAACATTTTTGCAGTTTCCTCTTTCTTGAAATTCATGATGGCATCAAATACCTTTAATCAGAAATAGACTGTCAGAGACTGCATGTGACTACAGGTATAGCTCAATTGTTATAGCACTGAAAAGCATGAGAAGTCATATATTGATACCAGAGGGTAGTGTTGCAAACTGAAAACCTGCCACATCCCACATATTTATTAGTTCCCTGTTCCACAAGAGAAACATGATTCAAGAATACATTGTATAATTAACATTCAACTATAATTAAATGTAACAAATAATAATGATAATAGTCAGAATGTACACGAGAAAATGTGTTTTAGTTATCAGAATAAAGACTGAGAGGTACATTTGTCAAAAAGAAAGAATAATCAAGATAATGCTGAAAACCTAATGAACCACAACAATTATTCCCTTGAGTGGCCAGAAGAATGAAACATATCACTTGGTGGATCTAGTCTGCTTTATCACCAAATTCTCATAGCTAAAATGCTATGAAATGCATTAAATTGGAGTAAAAGGGTGTATAGAACAAAAACTGCTGATCCCTAAAATTTAAATGCCCCTAAATGTTCATGCTTGTTACATGTACACAAAATGTGGAATATAACTCAATGGATTCATTTAGGGCCAAGCACCAGACATGTTGATGGGGTACAAAGACCAGTTTGCCAGGCTGCTTTCAAAAACTATCTCATCTTAGCCTTACTGTCTTGTATTTTCCCCGTGTGTCTTCCAAAAAAATAATAAATTTTTATTCACAAAAAGAATTCATTCAACAATTAAGAGATAGTGAATTTGCAATTGGAAACTAATTTACTTTTTGATTTATCAGCCTGTGATTAAATTATTTAAGGAATGATAACTTTTCAGCAACTCAAGCTAGAACATATCTGTAACTGAAAATTTTCACAACTTTCAAGGAAGTTAACTTCAAGACCATCAGGGGGAAAGAAGGGCTCTGCCCTTTAAGCCTTGCACAAAGTATGCCCTCCCCCCACTCTAAGCCTTGATGAAACCCTCAGAAAGACATGTTATTCAAGTATAAAACTAAAATGCGGCTGCAACGGATTATTACTCTGTTAAAGAAAATAGGCGGGGCTCATCAAGGTATCAGAGGGCTCCAAAGGCTACCAGCTAAATTGTGCAAAGTAAAAAGCTTATTTGCTTAAAAGCACTGACATTAGTCAATTCACCTTGAAAATTGGGTCCAGCACAAACATATTGAACCCACGCACATAACCCTCGCCTCCAGTCTTGTTCCACTTTTTCTCCTTTGCATTGAAGAACTGGTCACCCCAAAGACGTTTCATAAACTTTGCAGCTGGTACCTTCATCTTCTTAGCATATATATCGGAAAACTGTTTAAGAGTAAAGGCCCACCCGTGGAGTCCTGAACCAAAACCAACAGTACCTGACTCTGGTGAAACCTAGAGGGAAATCAGAAATTGACTCAGTTCAATAGTTACCATAGTTATTCGGTTATAAGATGCACCCCAAACTTGGCAACTTAGTCATCTAGGAATTTTAAATGCGGTTCGAACGATTGTTTTGTTTTCATGGATATCACAGTATTGAGCACATGCTGTTAAGAACGTATGCAAATTTCTGTTTGTTTGCTTTTGTTGTTGATCTTTTGAAGCTGATCAGTGTTCTTAAAGCAGTATTCCTTTTTAATTCATAGGAATAAAGGAATGGTTTATATGCAACCTTCACTGCATCTCAGACCAAAAAGCCCTGCTTGTGTGGGATTAGTTTCATGGTCATTTGATGGAGGCCATATAAGAAACAGTTCTTTCAGGACCACCACAAAGGCTCTTTTCAGAGCCACCCTAGTTCTTTTTAAAATCACCAAATCTAAAAAAGTTAATGACCAACAATTAGTGTTCTTTTAATGTCTTTGTAACTGTAAGTTCTGCTAAAATTGTGATCTTTAGATTTTGTTGCGTGAAAATACTCGGTTATAAGATGCACCCCAAAATTTGAGCAGATTTTGCTCAAACAAGCATATTTTATTGTGAAAAATGGTGCGCCTAAAAGTGAATAAATAAGGTACTTAAATGTAGCTCCACAAAAGAGATAAATTTTCCTTTCTTTTCATGCATTTTAGGTAATAAGAATGCAGTTGGTATTTTGTAAAACAGCTGAGAAACTTTTTCTTGGTAAAATCATCCTCAATTATTTATTGACTGATTCTTTGACATTTCATTTTGAAAGTGACAATTTTAAAGGGATTTTATTCTTCTGTTTTGACCATGTTACAACAAAATAAACAAGTCATTACAACTCATTGGTAAAACATCATTTCAAACTAGATCAAATAATGTTTGTTGCAGAATTATTATGGTGCACCCAAACATCAATGCTTTTGTAAGCGAATGTACACACTTTTGGGAAACTGTGTCATATTTAACAATTATTCATTGAGGCAGAACTGAATATTGTTGAATAACCTCAAGAAGAAGTCCAGGGGATTATTCAACAATACTCAGTGGGCTTGAGGAGAATAATTGTTTTAGTAAAATTGCTTATAGGTGGGTGCTTTCAATTTCTATTGTAAATATTCAATTTCATGCTGAAACCATTTTGATTCAATTGCTTTTAATTACTTGATATAAAGAGCCAGTATCTTCTAGAATTTAACAGGTTTATATCCTCCTTTTTGAAAAGTATTACTCAGGGATTGGGAAGGCTGTGGGCCATGCGCCCTAGTCACGTAATAGGTGATAAGCAGTTTAACAAAATAATGAAATATTGACTGGTGTATTTGCTTCTTCGATCGGTGAACTTTCTTGTTCATTTAATTTCTTCCCTAGACCTCTACTCACACTCAGTTTGCAAACGAGGTTCTGCCACGGCACAACATGCACTTTGTGCTCCCGAGGTTTGTGTTATGAATTCGTTTCTTTTGCATTTCAAATCAAGATAATGCCTCTAATGAAACTACTGAAGTTAGATAGTACTCAAGGCCAAAGAAAACTTCAACTTTTTTAAACATGGAATTGAATGCCGAGTTTGAAGGACAAAGTTCATCGAGTGAAATGAGTTCCACACTTTTCTGGCCTACAAGTAAGCTTCATGAAGACAGGAAATTCCAGTCGAAATGGTTAACTTTGAGGTCGTGGCTAGTGTATGAAAGAGATGCCATGTTTTGTAAGATTTGCCTCAAACATGGCAAAAAAAGAATTTATCATGACCTTTGGTTGCAAATCATTCAGTCAAGTTGAGAATTCCTAGATCTGTTCACCATCACCAAATACTGCGAAAAAATCCTATTAACTGAGAAACTAGTGAGATAGAAAAATTTGGAGCTATAATAGGGTTATCATAGATTACAAATACGTCTGTTGTTTGGCTACCCTGCTGGTAGAGGCGTTTATTTGTTAACTTCCCCTACGGTCCACGTAAAAATAAAGTCCTCTGTGCTCGGCCTGTTAAATCTCCGAGCATGCGCGGCCTGTTGCTTAGAAACAAATTTGTTCCCGGTAGTACTCGGTCTTGCTATATAGCTAAATAGGATGCGTGCGCATAAAAACGTGTTTAAAACAGGTTCTGACCGGTTTTGCAAATCAGATTATCCACAAACTTGGATAATT